ATCCACCTCCAGGGAAAGAAATGATAAACAGAAGCATGTATAGTATGGTTTTATATACATATATACATACGTTATTTGTGTTAAATGGTGGCCTTCTCTTGTGTGGGGTGGGAAGGAAGGGAGGGAAACAGTTTGAAACTTAAAACCTACCAAAAAAATAAATTTGAAAAAAAGACTTTGAGCTGTATGAGGACACAGTTTCAGAAAAGTTTAGTACTTTACTCAAGCTCACAAAGCTTGCTCTAAGTGGCAAAGCTATATAGTTTAATACCAGGTCTTCATACTCTAAATCCAAATGGGATACACTGAAACTTTAGTTCTGCAATATACCAAACTCTGAGTCAGAACACCTGGATTCATGATCTAGTTCCATCATTTACCAGTTTTGTAACTTTTGGAAAGGTACCTTAACTTGTCCTAATTTACTTCTTTAATTTTCTTACCTATAAAAGAAGGATAATAATACTTGTCATGCATCCACATAGAGTTGTTGGGAGGATTAAATGGGATGACATATGTGAAAACACTTTGCAATTATGTTATATAAATGTAAACTACTGTTATTATAATGCATTATGGGGATCTCAAATCAGTAAGATCACTGATTTACTATATGTGTAACCTTGGACAGATGACTCAACTTCATATGGCCTGTTTCCTAATCTATAAAACAAGGAGGTTTGACCAAATGGCTTCTAATGTCTCTTCCAACAGTAAATCTATGATCTTGTGATTCTATGATTTTTATTTACACAGTACACTTCTTTTGTTAATAACATACCATCTCCAGATAAGTAAATGACAAGAATATTCTTTCTTTAGAACTTTTCATTCCTTTAACAGGGACAATCATTAAAACTGTGATAGAAACACACACACACACACACACAACTGTAATAGTCAAAGTACTTTTCTCACTCCTGACAACTTCATTTGAGGGGCAGCACAATATGGTAGAAATTGTATTGGAACAGAATTCCAGACACTTGGGCTCTAATTCTACTTCTAGTATAAGCATGAGTAGTTCAATTCAGCTCTTTAAGTTTTGGCCAGCTAAGTGGTGTAGTGGATAGAGTGCCAGGCCTGGAGTCAGGGAAGACTCATTTTCCTAAGTTCAAATCTGGCCTCAAACACTTACTAGCTGTGTGACCCTGAGCAAGTCACTTTACCCTGTTGCTTCAGTTTCCTCATCTGTAAAATGAACTGGAGAAGGAAATGGCAAACCAGTTCAGTTTTTTTGCTGAGAAAACCCCAAATGGAGTCATGAAGAGCTGGACGTGACTGAAAAACAATTCAACACTCTTAAATCCCAGTTGCCTTCTCTGCTAAATGAGGCTGAATGAAATGATCTCTCAAGCCTCTTTCCAGCATTCTAGGTTCAAGATCATCTTACATGACTCCTTTGAAACATATGTCATTATTGTTAGTTCCTACTGAAAAAAAAAAAGCCTCTGAGACCGTACAGAGGAGACTGGAACAAGAGTCCACCTACCCCTTCAGACAAAAAAAAATTACAACTAAGAAAATATTGATGTGTCAAGAGAAAAATGCAACAACAAAGCCAGATACACATAAGCAAATGTCTTGTGTACATTCAGTCCAACACCCCAATTACCACAATCCTTTTTTGGGGGATACTAAAATAAGAAATGGGTATGAGCATAAAATGGAAAGCCTATTAAAGTAAGAAAATGTGCTGAATAACAACATTTGTGAAGCTCTCACATTTGTTGAACACAGATGGACCAGAAGAAAATAGATTAATACCTAAGGTGTGGAAGCCTCTCAGGATAGCTTTTATTAACTCAGAATTGCTAGTGCTATACTTCTTTGTGGGAGTTTGGGGCGTATCCAATTATTTAGTAACAAATAAAAGCTCCTGAAAAGCTGTTAAAAGTGTTTTACTGGAAAAAATTACCCTGAAACTCACATTAATTCCTTGTGTAATAAAATAGGCTAAATGAGAATCACCTAGTTTAAAGAAAAATTAAAACAAGAAATCAAGTAAAAACACCAACTGTCTGGCATATGGGCCCAAAAGATAAAATGCTTCTGTAGAGCTACATTTGTAAAAAAAAAAAAATTAAAATAATTCAACCACCAACCAAAATAATTCACTCTTAGGCCTCTTGCCATAAGAGCTTACTATGGTCTTATTATGCTTTCCTTCTTTTAGGTGAAAGTGCGATACTCTATGCTTTTATTTCAATGAACCACCATGATTTTTTGATTATTTTAACGTTTCTAGCATGCAATGTTTTCAAACATTCATTCCATAGATTCTGAAAGCTTAGATAACTTTCCTGGACAAGTTCCCTCATCTGCTTAAATCTCAGCTCTACTATCTGGTACTACTGTGTGACTTCAATAAAAGTATGTGCCCTATTCCCTCTCCTCTTCCAAACTGTCTCCTGAGGGCATGACCATCCTGGACTTCTCATTCTCACTCCTCATACCCAATCAGTTGCCAAATGTTGCCATTTCTACCTCCACATCTCTTGCATTCAACCCTGGAAATTCTCTACTCACACAACTGCCACAATAGTTCAGGTTCTCATTACTTTTTTTTTAACAGCCTCCTAACTAGTTTCCCTACTTTCAAGTCTCTTTCCACTCCAGTCTATCCTGTATAATGGTATGGATTTTACCATGTGACTCCCCTACTTAATCAACTCCAATAGCTTCTAAATGACTCTGGGATTGAATATACCTTCTAATGTTTAGCTTTGAAAGCCTTTCGTATCCTTGTCTCAGTAGCTACTGTTGACTTCATTTTTGCAATATCACTCAAATATGCCCCCTTCTCTCTACTAGCTGGATAGTTTCTCATCACCTCAACCCTGGACTATTGCTTCAGCTATGAGTTTCTGCCCACTCCAGTTCAGAGGCAAAAGTAACTTCCTAAAGTTCAGATAAAACCATATCATCCCCTACACAATAAACTCAAGTAGCTCCCTATCACCTCCAAGATAAAACATAAAATCCTCTGTCCCTGACAACCTATCCCTCTCCCCATACACATCCTGACATCTTTCCTATCTTCTGACACTTTACTTTGATCCAGTAGCACCAGCGTCTTGGCTATTACATAAACAAGATACTCCATATCTCTTGGCTTCAGGTATTTTCTCTGGCTGTCCCCTATGCCTAGAATGTACTTCCTCCTTATCTCTGCCTCCTGGCTTCCCTGGCTTTCTTCAAATCCAAACTAAAATATCACCTACTACAGGAAGTAGTAGTTTCCCAATCCTTCTTAATTCTAGCAATTTCCCTCTGTTAATTATTTATCCTGTGTATAACTATTTGTACACATTTGTTTGCTTGTTGTCTACCCCCATTAGAATGTGAGCTCCTCAAGGGCAGGGAAGAGCTTTTTGACTCTTGTATCCCCAGTGGTTAGGTGATGAAACTCTAGAATAAAACAACAATCAATACCCAAAGAAATTGGCAGTAGTACCAGTCCAGATCTTCTCTCCAGAAGTGTGCAGAGCCCAACCTAACATTAAGTCTAAAGCAGGCAGAAAGAATGAACAAATTTTAAAAAGAATTCTACCATAACAAGCTATTATAGTGACAGGGACATTCAAGACCCAAACCCAGAACTGGCCCCAAAGTATCTATAAGCAAAGTCTGAAAGGAAACACGGCTTGGGCACAAATTCAATTGAAATGTCTGGAAGAGATGAAGCAAGAGTTTAAAAAGGTTTAGTAAATGAAATGAGAATGCTAGACAGAGAAAAAATGGGAAAAGAAATGAGAGATATGGAACAAAGAATTGGAAGGGAATTAACAGCTTGGCAAAAAAGGTACAAAATCCTGCTAATCATAATGTGACATTATGAAGGAGAGTTTAAGTAGCCTTACAGAAGAATGGTGAAGGTATTTGGGCTCCTTCCCAGGTGAAAGCAAACTATTCCTGACTAGTCTCAGCCACAGGAATAGAAAAAAAGGCAATATTGTTAGTTCCATGCTATTTATCTTAGACCTGGGCTATCTGATCTAAAAAACTGACAACCAGACAAATAGGATTTGCTTAAGTGATAAATGAGAATAAATGAGATAATAAATGAAAAATAAATGAGAGGGTATTCCAAGAAGCAGAGAAAATACAGTATTCCTTGAAGTCTCAGAGGTCTGTCATAACTTGTTGATGTGTTTATTTTCAAGAAACTTTTTATTTGTATAGTTCAAAGGCCCTTTATTACCCTATTCTTAGAAAATCCAGGACTCTTTTTTACAAAGAGAAATCTTCTAGCCTCCTAAAAGCTAGGCTTTGGAAGAGGTCAAGGAAAATATCAAGTATTATAGAAAGGGGCAGAGAGCACTGCCAGCTATCTCCTTGTACTGGAAAAAAATACAGGGCTGCCTCACCCTTAGGGTCTCAGATCTTTCCTTTATCCTATTATCTTTCCTCAGATAATAAATGGTATGAATGTTGCAGCCTGGTACCACTTGATATGAGAGTATAGGAGAAAATTAGGTGTTAGGGAGTACAAGAGGCATATGGATATGGGCTGGCACATCAGGGAAAGCTTCACAAAGGCAGAGGCCTGAATGTTGGCCCTGCAGGATCGGTAGGATTTGGATGGGGCAAAGGTTTAGAAAAAACTTCTTTGGTGGATACATCCATAATCTTCCCCTCTCACACACAAAAAAAACCCCTTTCAGTTTCCTTATTTCAGTCCTCCCATTCCTTTCATCCTATTCTTCCTTTTAGGTGCTTTCGCTATATTTATTTGTTTTTTCCCCAACTTGGTTACAAGCTATCACATCACTAAGCATACATAACCTGGCACTGCACAATCTTCAAATCTGGACCCATATCAGCCCTTACTCTAAAAGTGTTCTCAAAATCACAAGTGTGGCTTGGATGGAAATCTACCACCTAGCATGCATTTCAGGGGCAACCAGTCTATTCAGCAGAAACTTAAGAGGATAGAGAATTAAAGATGTGAGAACTCTGGGAAGTAGGGACATGATGCTTTCTCGAGCTGTACTCACCATTGGTGGTTGTGTTGACATAGTATCGGCGGCCCTGAGGAGACAGGTAGCTTTGCCAGCCGGGTGGCAAAAAGGAAGTCTGATTTTCTTCTGCAGGCTGGGGGGGAACCATTCCAGGCTTCTGTTAGTGTGTGGGGAGGCAGGGGAAAAGAGAGAAAGAGAAAAAGGTCACCACACAAATTTATTTTTTCAATAGTTATAATCTGCACGGTTCAGGAAGAATGATAATCAATTGGGTCATAACTCCTAAATCATGTTAGGAAGTGTAAGATTTTCAGGCACATGCGTGGACGATGTGCTATGATGTTGAGATCTGTGTCATCATCACTTTTTGTTATGATATAACCAAGACAAAACATTGATGTGCATTAGGCAATGTCAGTCAGTCAATAAGCATTCACTAAATACCTATTATGTACCAGTAAAGGCAGCTAGGTGGCACAGTGGATAGGGTGTTAGGCATGGAGTCAGGAAGATTCATCTCCCTGAGTTCAAATCTGGCCTCAGACACTTACTAGTTGTGTAACCCTAAGCAAGTCCCTTAACCCTATTTGCCTCAGCTTCAAAAAGAGTATTAGGCACTGTGCATGAAATTACAATAGTATTGCAAAGTCCTGGCTCTCAAGGAACTCACAGTCTATTGAAGGAGATAACATGCAATATACAAAAATGCTATATACAAGATAAATTGGAAATAATCAACTAAGAGAAGGAACTATCATTAAGGTTAATCAGGAAAGGCATCTCAGAGAAGGTGACTTTAGCTGGGACTTGAAAGAAGCCAGAAGGCAGAGTTGAGGAGGGAGAGAATTTCAGGCATGGGGAGGGTGGGAGGGAACCAGTACTATGGGATTTGATTGGGAATGACAACTGAAAAGTAAGCCATGAGGCCCTGCCAGAGGATTGAGATGGATCCTGTACTACAAGCAGCCACCAATATGAGGAACATCTCCAAGGATCTGAAGCCCTGAGACCGTAAGAGCCTCCCAGAGGGCTGGAAGTATCCCACTGCCCCTTATTATTCCCCCTCTAATCTAGTCAAAGTAGCCACCTGTTCAAGCAAACTTGTTCTTAACTTTAAAATTCAAATTTAATTAACAACCATGAAAACTCTGTTAACCAGCAGAATTTCTAACTTGTGTCATTTTATTTAGTGCTACTTTACCTAAAGGGAAAGGAGAGAAGTTTGCTTGCCTTAGGGATGAAATACTTGGTCTATGGGGCTAAGTTATTGGGGCAAAGTGAAAGGCCTAGGAATGAACTGTTACAAGTGTGGCTAAGAATTAAAAAAACTGAGACACAAACAAATAAATGAATGAATAGCAAAATAAATAAATAGGCATATGCATAAACACACAGAGACAGATGATAACAATAACTCCAGAAACTAATGTGAGCTCAGGAAGGCATTTTCCTTTCCCTCTTCCCACAGAATGATGTTTGGGTAGGAAAGAATGTCATATTCCTGTGAAGGGAGGGGATATAAGCTGCTTGGAAGGGGCAAACCAACCCCTAAGCAGATGGAGAAGTGACACACGCAAAGGAGGAGCAAGTTGCTGATGTCTGAGCATGCCCAGACAGGTGCTGAAACTCAGGAATGACTGACAGCCCAATCTGCCTAGCTCACCCACGCCACCTGGTGGATTGTTTACAATAATGTAAATAAAAGCAATACTAAACAATATCCAAAGTCAGATTAATTAATATGATCAGTCTAGAAGACAAATAATGAGGTCAAAAATACCACTTTGCTACTCTCAGGAAAGAGGCAGGGGAACAACGGTTAGAGAATGTTGCATATTCCATCCGAAACTTTCATAGGTGAAACTTCTGGGCCTGGAATCAGGGTGATATGAGCTCAAATACAGCCCTAGACACTTACTAGTTATGTGATTCTGGTCAAACCATTTAACTTCTGTTTGCTTTGGTTTCCTCAACTGTAAAAAGGGGGTAATAATAGCACCTACACCCAGGTTGTAGTGAGGATCAAATAAAGTAATATCTGCAAAGTGCTTAGCATAGTGCCTGGCACAGAAAAGGCACTATATAAATGCTAGTGATGATGATGATGTCACTTGGGTTTACCTAATTGCTTCTATTCCAAATGAGGGAAGGTTCAGAGAGGCCAGAATATGACTTAGGTTTAAAAAAAAAAAAAAGAGGCTTCACTAAAACTACTTGATTAAATAAAGACAAACTGCCTGAGAATACGTTGATGTTCTGATAGTGCACTATGAAAAAAGACAAAAGCAAGGCAAAGGCCATGGCTATAAAAGGGAGGTATCCCTTTCAGTCCCATGCCCAAAGGCAACAACAGTCAAGACAAGCACGGAACTGGCAAGAAACCACAACCCCTTGTAAAGTTCTTTATACAGCTGACATGATCAGCTCCTCTCCAACCAGGTGTAACCACAACTCCTTGGAGAATCCTTCAGAACTATAACAATATGTGGGAGAGTGCCAAGGGTGAGCTCTCAATGGTTGGCATGAAAGTTTTTAAGGGGAAGGATTCATGCTTACAGATCACTCAGTAAAATTACAAAAGAAAATAAACATAATAAAGTAAGGTCTCCACTGCCTGGGATCTTAGGAGCAGCAGACTCTGCACAGGGTCCCTATCTTTTTTAAGTGGAAGGATTACAGTTTACAGAACTCTCAGGCAGATTAAAAAAAAAGTGGTCAAAGTTTGTGCTGCCTTAAAAGCAGCAGACTCTGCACTAGATGGTGGTCAGAGATGGCAGAGATGACCTTAAAACAAACAGCATTTCCTTTTTCTCACTTAACAACACTGAATCTACCCACAGACCAACTACCATTTTATCCTAAGTGGTGGTTGCACAGACTTCCTGGCAATATTAATGGAGGTAAGGGACGAGTTGCTTCTAATCTGGCTAATGGTATAGACTACAACTACTTGGTAGAGGGTCCCATTTTGAAGATAGACTACTGGTCTCCACATTCCCCTTTAAGCATACATGAATTACTAGGTGGTAAAGCTAACATCTTCCAACCACAAAGCAAAGTGCTTGACATATTAGAAGTATTTAATAAATGTTTGTTCACTTGATTAGACTTGATAAAGATCTGGTATATAAATAATATAGGCTTCTGTGTCCCCTCCAGTTTACTTTCTTTCAAAAGGTATTCTTCAAAAGAAAGCCCAAAGAATATCAATCTAAATCAAAAAGCTGAGATCTGGGGTCCACTACCTCAAGAAAGATAAAATAAATCTCTTTTCCTCCTAGCCCTTCCCTTGTCCAGCTGCAGGAAGTCCTCATCCACACAAGGATAGTAGAATAGGTCAAACTAAATCATAGGTGTTTTTTGTCTTTCTTTCTATTATATCCTTTATGGATAGGAAGACAGGTACATCCTCTTTTTTTCTTAAGAGATCTAGCTAGTGAACCAATCATGGAATACTAGATTTTTGGTTCCTATTTGCTTAGCAAAGCATTTTACAAATATTATCTCATTTTTTCCTCACAACTACCCTGAGAGGTAGGTGCTATTATCATCTCTATGTTATAAAACGGATAGCTAGAATTTACGGAGTGCTTTAAGGTTTGCAAAGAAGATTATCTTATTGTATCTACACAGCAACTCTGGGAGTTGGTGCTATTATTAGCCCCATTTTACAGATGAGGATTAGTCACCATGCACTTGCTCACCAGTGTGAGCACAGACCTGCTCATACCCTCTGCCTGGATGGAATGACTTGGCATTCTTATTTCTACCTAATGAATCCTTCAAGATCCAGCTGAAATGGGTATATCTTCTAAACAATCTGATCTTCCAAAAGGAAATGATGTTTCCTTCAACACTGAAACAGTACTTTGCATGCTCTTCTGCAAGTTTTATGTTATTTTTTTTTTTCCTCTTTCTATTTTCTTAAGTACAGGCACTGGTCCCTTTCCTTCCCTTACTCTCTGTCGTGCCTACCTCTACTCCCCATACAATCCCTCACAGCAGAGTGCCTATAATAATAAATGTTTGTTGAATTTCATATTTAATTATATTCCCATGTTTGTACGGGGTCTCTGAATGTCATGCTTTTTAATATCTTCCTTATGTTAGAGCTATGGCTTGCTGTCCTTAAATATATGTCTATTCAAGTTAAACTTTTAAATGTGGCATAGTTGGTAAAAAGGCAAACCACAGAGTCCAAAAGATGAATTTGAGTCTCAACTCTGGAATACTGGCTGTGTGACCCTGGACACATTATTTAATACTTCACTGGCCTAGGCAGCTCTAACAGGTTGCCGAACAGGTGACTGCCAGCATTGGTAGAGGAAGTTTCCTCGTTGTGAGTTCACGCACTAATGGAATAAAAAGTGCTATCTAAAAATAAAATTACAGTCAGTTCAATATTGTTCATAACTACCTAACTGAAAAGAAAGGATTTGGTGAGTGAGGCTAGGAAAGGGGTACATCACATTCTTCAATATACTGGAGTAAAACAACCTGCTGCATTGTAGAGAAAAAGTAGCAAGTTGTCTGAGATTTATTTTCTCCTTCTCAGTCCCTGACTATTGAAGCTTTGGAAGTTAAATCATTTTCTAGTCATATCAAAGATAGTGGCTAAAATCTGTGGAATACTAGAGTGGAGAATTTGAAAAAAAAAAAAAGATTTTGAGTTTACTATGAATAGGAAACTAAAGCATAGAACACAAGTTGTGGAAAAGAAATGTAAGAATGATTTTGTATATTAAATCAAACCATAGACTTATAGTTGGCAGGAAGTTCAGAGTTCATCTAGTATAATTCCCTCACTGTATAGATAATAAAAACTAAAGCCCAGGGCGGTTCAGTGACCTGTTCAGGTGGCACAATGAATAGAATGTTGGGCCTGGAGTCAGGAGGATCTGAGTTCAAATCCAGCCTCAGACACTTATTCTCCATGTGATCCTGGGCAAGTCACTTAACCCCTGCCTGCCTCAGTTTCATCTTCCATAAAATGGGAATAATAATAGCATCTACCTCCCAGGGTTGTTGTGAGGATCAAATGAGATAAATAACTATAAAGCACTTAGCACAGTGCCTGGCACATAGTAAGCACTATATAAATGTTAGGTTAAGTTTTCTGAGGTGAAAGATCAATTTCTCCAAGGCGTGATTCATTCC